GGTCAAGTGTGGAGAGGGTGACATTGACCCTCATGGCCAGTAAGTAAGGTTGGTAAGGCAAACACAACCACCCGCATGCACCCCACCCCTGGATTCAGTAAAGCTGTGGCCAGCAGGGTCCTTCCCAGGGGGTGGTTGTTGGGCGGAATGGTAAGGTCAGAGGAGTTCCATGAACACTTGCTGAAATAGTACTTGGTGCTATTTCCCTGTGAGGCCCCACTCCTAAACAAGCAGGAAGCAGTCAAACATTTAACAAAGCAACCCTTCTGAACGTGAGTACAGGCTTCATGATCTTGATGTTTTTGTAATAGCAGGAGCTGCTGAAGTCGAGCTTGAGTGATCACTGATGAGTTCTGTATAGGACCTGCCGTAGAGGAGTGTGACAGGTTCAGCCTGATAGAATCTGCATATAAATTCCCTATTCAGGTAGCAGCTGCCACCAAGAGGGAAGGGAAGGTGGCAAGGCGGCATTGCTTTGCTCCAAGAACTGCAGATCTGAGGAACAATGTCAAGGAAAGAGCTCCATGCAGGGATCAGAAGAGCCAGGCTCTTGTTCTGCCCAACCCCCTAATTTCTCATGTGCCTTTGCGTGAGTTACTCAACATTTGCAGGCCTCCATTTTCCTTCTATGGACTGGAAATTATAATAATACTTTTTGGGAGAATGTCATTTATATACTAATGCTATAATACATCAGCCCTCTAACAGGACAACACATAGGAAACTTTTAGCATTTTTAAAAGTATTTTAAGAGCAGGAGTGTCTGTTGTTTCAGGGGTTTCAGCCTAGCTGGAGAATCTCTCATCTGTGCTGTCATTCATCCTCCCCAACAGGCATTCAGTAAACAGGCATTTATTACACACCTGCCTTGTACCTGGCACTGGGCAGATACATACAGGAACAAGGCAGCAGATGGCCTTTCAGGAGCTCAGTCTGTAGGGAAATACAACCATAAAAAGCACATTGCTATGCAGAGTAACAAGTGCTTTAATGGAAATTGGTACCAGATAGAGAAGTCATCCGTGGAAGGGAAGGCTATAATGTAAAGGATGGGCACATAGATGTGCTGTAGAAAGGGGTTCTTGCTAAACTGGCCTAGCAGCATCCTTTGCTAAAGCCAGACTTTACAGGGAAGTACACAGATGGGCCTAGGATGAATTTCAATTGACTAATGTTTGGCCAAATAAATAATTTTTTTCAGATGTGTGATGTATGGGTGGACATGAAGATTTAGAATCATGGGCCCATAGTTGTGTCTTAGGTTGAGCTCCCCAGGAAAGAGACCCTGAGATGGAGAAGTGGTCAGGAAGCTGATTGGAGAATGAGCTCAGACCAATGCCGGCAGTGGAGAGAAGGGAGCAGGATTCAGCAGAAGGAAAAGATGAGCAGCCCGTAGTCACAACAGAGGTCTCACTTGAGCCCATGGGGAGCTCTGGAGCTTGGATGGCCCATCAGAGTTAGATCATTTGGACGTGGAGGAACAGACCTTTATGCCCTGCATCAGTCAGCCATTGGATGCAGTTTGTTCTTGGGGGGCCTGGATAGCCTTGGTGGAGGAAACATCCTTCAAGGGCAATTCCAGGGGACAGGCCCAGCTGTGGTCCACATCCAGCAATGCTCCCAGCAGCTGTAAGACAAGCCTGTCAGTTCTGGGCCATGCACCACCATCCACTGCAGATGACGCAGGTGTGGGGAAGCCCTGGGACAGTGGCCGTCAAATAGCTGTATGGCAGAGTCACCTGGAGAGCTTGAACAACCCCAGCACCTAAGCTGCACCCCCAGACCAATTCACCCCAAATCTCTGAGTGTAGGGAATGAGTATCAATAGTTTATAAAACTCCCCAAGTGATTCTAATGGGCAGCCAAGTTCAAGAATCACTGCCTGGGGGTGTGTGCGAGACAAGGGAGAGAAGGGCTTGCCTCAAAACCCTGAGAAGCTGGAAGAGAACCAGGGAGAGTGTGTCATAGAAGGCAAGGGGTGGAGGATTTTAGAAAGAAGTGTCTACCTCCAACAAGAACCTACATGCCTGAGTGAGAGGAGCAACCAGCTGTTCCAAAATGTGCTCAGAATTTGTATTAATCAGGTATGGTGAGGTAATGGACATGGATGCAACTGTGTTTGAAAGAATTTGTTACTCACAGTTCCCTAGAGGAGGGGACATGCCACGCCATGCAGGGCCACACGGGGAGGCACTGGGGTCCGTCAGGAGGCAGAAGGAGGGAGGGGACAGCCTGCACCAGAGCCTTTATTGTGGGCCCATGGCAGGAGTGAGTGCGCAGGGGAGGCAGGCTTGGGATCATGTTGCCAGGCTCTGGGCTACAGGGCTGTTCCCTAGTTGTCTGGTACCTGGCTCTGGTGTGACCTGGGAGAGGGAAAATGTTGGCTCAGAGAGTGAGAGTTTGATAAAGGAAGTGATTGGAGTATAGGTTTTGGATTGGTGGGTTTGCATATAAAAGGTGTGCTCTCAGGCAAGTTGTTCAGTAGCTCTAGCAATTATTAATAGCTAGGGAACTGCTGTTAATGACTGCTCTGGAAAAGTCAGTCTCTCTGAAATCAGAAAAGCCATACAATATGAAAGTGTAATGAAATACAGGAAACATAAAACATGATAAATATTAATACACTAACCTCATGGCCACCTAGGTTGGGGGTCAGAGTGGGCTGAATTTAACCTCAGCTCACCCCCTTATCAGGGAGGTGAGTGCTGGGTGCATCTTTCACAAATATACAGAGTAGCCTTGACCCTGGATCCTTTGGGCTGCAGTGGAAAAACAGGAAGAGATGTAATCCTTGCAGCAGAGATGGAGAAAGAGCGCCTGTACACCCACAAGCTAGGAGAACTGCAGGGGTGAGTGGGTGGTCCCAAGGCTGGGACACTCCAGAACCCTCAGAAAGTGCTCGTGAGGAGACAATATCAGTTTTACATATCCATTGGCCCTAGAGACCCAAGGTGGAACCTCACACACTTGATCCTTATAGCGATCAGACCTTGGCTAGCGAGCCTGGGGAAGAGGCATGGGAAGGAGAAGAGAAATAGAGAAGTCAGTCATCTACCTCCCACCCCAGCTCTTTCCACTGCAGGCTTCCAGCCTAAAGCAGGCTTAGAGGAAGGGGGACAGGAGATGAAGATGTGTCGTTCAATCTATTCAGTTGGGCTGATTTTGATTATTATTTTATACTGGCCAGTCCGATGTCTAAATTGAAATTGTAATTCTTGGATAGGACCCTGCTCAGTCTGAGCAGAAAAGAGCTGAGCCCCTAGAATGGGGCAGGGAAATAAAACCCCAGGGATTAAACTTTAGAGGAACAAGGAGACAAAGACCCAGGTTGTATTAGATGACGTTCCGGACTGTGCTTATGTAACACAAAGTTACATTTGTAACACACTTAGCAGGGAGCTGGGCATGTGGAGAACACTTGGTCAGTGTCAGCCATTATTAGAATAGGAGCCTAGAATAACAGTCTAAATATGATGAAATATAAAGAAGAACATATCATTTAATCCCCCAAATTGCTCTGTAAAGTAGGTCTTGCTCTTCGCCTTTCTAATCCAGCAGCGTGGAGAAATGGCCACCTCTGGAGCCCTTTTGCTGTCAGCAGCATAAGTGGCCCAGCCAGCATCCAACCTCCCCCTGCCCATCCCGCTCCACTTGACTGGGGGCCATGGGCATGTTGAGATGTCTTTTATAAGAACTTGACTTGGAGTAAGAGCAATGATTTCAACTCTATGTAAACATTTTTTGCAGATTTATCATAGTCCAGAAAGATATTATGGACTAAAGCAGTGTATAGCTTATGGGAAATATGACCAGAATTCTATTTAAAAAATGGAAACCTTGCAGATTAAAGAACAAGATAATACAGTTATTGCAAGGCCCATTCACCTGACCTGATTGGGAGTTAAAAATCACCTCAGCTGACAACACTGACTTTTCCCTCCTCCTGAGTGAAACAGCAGTACAAACTCTCTGCCCGTGGTCTCCTGTATGGATGCTCTTGGGTTTTACCACACCCAGCAGGCTGCACTGACACCACAGAGGCTTATCTTTGAGGTTGTCATTTGGTGGCTCCTTATGGTCTTGTGTCAGGCATGTAATACCCAGTTTTTTAAAACATGCCTTCCTTTTGAACAGCCCCTGAAAAAGACACTCAGAGGGCACTCTCTGCAAATGGCAAGGGCTGTTTGTGAAAGGGACCAGTGTGTAGGAAAGCCTTTTCTCATGCCCGTTTGTTCCTTCAATAGACATGTATCTATCTGCTACCATGTGCTGGCAGGTCTCTGCCTCCAGGCCACGCACAACTATGTAAAATGCTGAGGCCTCAGCTCTGTGTTGGGATTGAGTGCCCAGGAGCTCCATCAAGAGCTGCTGAGGGTCTGAAGCTTCACTGGCCCTTCCCCTGAGTCTGGTGGCCTTGTGGCTCCTCCCTGGTCACTAGGCATGTCTTACCAAGCCCCCTGGATCTGAATTCAGACTCTGGGATCCCAGACTTGTTGACCAGTCGTGCCTCTATGACCAAGATGTGGCCTCAGTGAGCCATTGAACCTCTCTGTGCTGCAGTTAATATTTCTGTAGAGGGAGGATAGTAACAGGCTGTCTGTCCGCAAGCTGCTGTGAGGATGAGAGGAGATGAACTATGCAATGTGCTTGGTAATAAAAACCAATCCTTCCTGTTGAACACCTACAGTGTGTGCAGCCCTGTGCTTTGCACTCCAGACATCCACTCATGGACCTCATCCTCCCAACAGCAATCCTCCCCAGGAATATGTGTTGTCTTTATCCCCATTTTACAGATGAGAACACTGAGGCATGGGCATTTCAGTAACTTGCCCACAGCCACAGTGAATGGGGATAGAGGCAGAATCCAAATCCAGACAGCCTGCAAGAGAGCTATGCCCAAAACTGCTCACTAGGTTGTCCTGACCCACGCTGCAAGCCCCTACTCAGTAAGGGTTGCTGGTGGCGATTTCATCTTTACCGCTGCCATTGGGAGAGAAGACATGCGTGGTCATCGTCAGAAACTCTTCCATAAAGCACAGGGCACAGCAGAGTCTTTATTGTGGACCCATGGCCGGAATGAGTGAGTAGGGAGGCGGGCTTACTCATTGAGATGATGTGTGTGCAGGTCATCCTAGCTATTTTATTATTTGGTTGGGCCACATGTATAATATGAGTGGAAACCCTTCATTTAACACACACCTATCCACACACCCAATCGCACTTTTCTTGGCAAAAGGTGAGGGGAATAATCTCTCCTAACTACAATACCTCCCCCTGCAGCCAACTAATATTTCCAGGAAAACTCTGGACGCTTTCTGGAAAAAGCCAGGTTTACAGATTCTGCTGCTGGCTAAGCTCAGTCCCTCTGGAGTAAACTCTTATCTGAGCTCCACTCTGGACACTCCCGATCCACACCTTTTCCACTGTTCACCCCAGGGATGTGTACAGAGTGGCCACTGCCATTTTCCTTCCGGAGTTCAGAAATGTTGGCGTCCCAAGCTGGGGGCTGCCCCCCCTGAGGTTTAAAGAATCCACCTTTTCTCCAGAGGTACAAATAAGACCACACTCACCCATGTGACCTCCCTTAAGAAAGAGTCCCATGTCCTTGTATTTAAGACACCAGAGATCAAAGGCTATACCATGAACTTGATAACAGCCTTTCAGGAATAAGTCATGCAAAGTTAAACGTACCCACTGACTGTAAGATTTTTAAAACACTGAGTTGTAGACTCAAGGAAATAGAGAGTGTCCATCTCAGTTAGTACATAGACCCCTCAAAGGCTCCCGTTGTCCTCAAGCCAAGTCCAAGAGCCATGGAAAGGCAGCAAAGCCACCCATGACCTGACCTCTGCCCCAGGCTCCAGCCTCAGCTCCCACGCCTGCGGCATCCCCTGACCTGGCATTCCCACTACAGTTGTTCCCCAGTGAGCCTGGGCAGATCATGCCTCTGTGTGGTTGTACATGCTGTTCTGGGGGTGCCCTTCCATCCAGTGGCAGCTCCAAAAACCACCCCTGGGAAGTGCTCCCTCTGTGCTGATGCTGTGGGAAAAGATTGGGCTTGATTTCCACCTGCGTGGTTCCTGGCTGGGCGGCCTCAGCACAGGAATCCCTCAGCATGCCTTTAATGTGCAGCAGCAGTGTTGGCTCCGTGTGGGGCTGGTGGCTGTGCCGTGGAAGGAGACAGCCTTGGGAAGGGCTCACACCACACCTGGCATGTGGTAGGAGCTTCCTGGTGTTGGTTCCCTTGTGTTTTCTCGGATTCTGTTTTTGCGCTTACTGAGACAGCAGCCAAACCCCGAGAGAAAACAGAATCAACAACAATACCACAGACAGGCCTAGTGGGAATTCCACTTCTATGTATGTTGGATTTTTTTTCTTCCTGGCCTTTCTTTTTAATCAAGCTATGACACACATGCCATAAAATTCATCCTTTTAAAGTATACAGCTCAGTGGGTTTTGGTATCTTCACAGAGTCTGGCCACCATCAGCTTTCTCTAATTCTGATTATTTGCATCACGCTAGAATGAAACCCCACATTGGGGAGCAGTCACTCCCCACCCCCCGTCCCCGGCCCTCCCAGCCCTCCGGCAGCCCTAGCCTACCTCTCCCAGCCTTCTAGCGAGAGCTTCCCTGAAACTGGAAAGCTGACATTGGCCTTGCCAGTTCCTCAAAAGGCGATGGAAGAGCTATGCTGGCTGGCGGAACCAGAGGAGTTTTGTGAATAAAAACTGTTACTAAGTACAGAAAAGGGAATCAAATCTAAGGCACCCCTTAGGTGGAGATGAGGACTGGACCAGCTGCTGGCCATGTGCTTACTCTGGGCCTTGGGGCCCAGAGTACTACTCTGTGGAGGTGGAGTCAAGCAGCCCCTATGGCCTTGGCCAACCTGAGCCACCTGCTTTTCAGAGCCACTACCCAGGTCACCATCTCACAGGGGACTTTGAGGAGTCTCTGGACTCACACATGGAAAATGCTGTGTGCATGGGACTGGTGCGCAACCTGGCTCAGTTCCTTCCCTTAGCCTTTGCTCGTGGGGATCACGCTGGGCAGGAAGACCTTCTGCAGGGTCGAAAACACCTGGCCCAGTTGCCCAGTCCCCTCCACAACGACCAAAGGCCACTGCACTCAGCAGCATCTCCTTCTCCCTCAGGAGAGTACCTGGCCGTACCTGTTTGGAGTGATTTCAGTCCCTGCCGTCGTCCAGCTGCTGAGCCTGCCCTTTCTCCCTGACAGCCCATGCTACCTGCTGTTGGAGAAGCACAACGAAGCAAGAGCTGTGAAAGGTAAGGGCCCTTTCCTTTCCACCACAGCTCCAGCCCCTGCACAGGTTAGCCCTGCAAGGCGTTCTGGGACCTGGGCCAATGGGCACAGGAAGGGGTGTTTTCATTGTTCCTCTGCAGGCACTGGGCTGGGTGTCATAGGGTACCTTCTCATTTCATCTTCTCAACAGCCTTGCTGGGGGGACAGAGAGGGAACACAGAGTCACCCAGGGAGTCACCCAGGGAGTCTGGAAAAGCCAGAACAGACAAGATTAGATGCAGGTCCCTTCACTTCTGGCATTGTGTCCCCACTGCCGCCTCTCTGGTTGTTTCCAACCACAGAAATGAACCCATCTCAAATTTCTGAGTGACTTAGGTACATGGCGGCCCTCCTTCCACTCCTTCTCCCTTCACTGACTTCCTTTGTCTTAACATTTACGTGCCAGGAAAGGAAAAGATGCCAGCACAGATTGAACACCAGATCCCACCAGGCACTGGCCTGAGTGCTTCTGCACAATGACCCATGGGACCTTGCCAGCAGCCCTTCAAGGGAGGAAGGAGTATACACTCATTTTACAGGAGAGAAAAATAAGGCTTGCAAAGGGACTTGGAAGTCATCTCAGGCTTTCTTTAAATGCCCTAAATGGGGGGATGTTGAGTCAGATTCAAAATCTGGGTTTCAGAATCAGAGACATCTCTCTACAGAGCACTGAACAGGTAAAATTATGTTGCCTAGAGATAGACAATGCAGAATGAACAATCACAGTCTCATTCTTTTAGTTGACAGCACCATGGTTAGTGAGGCATGTGAAGGTAACCAGCACTACCTTCATATGCAGCTCTGCTGTCTGACCTTGAGCAATTATTTTTTTAAGCTTTCTGAGTCTCAGAACCCTCATCTGTAAAAAGGAAATGACACAAACTTCCCTCGTGGGGCCATTGTGAGGATTGAATTAGACGGCACATATATAAGGTTCGTCGTATTATCTGCTATCATTATTACTGAGAACTCTGTTCATTTTAGTTCTAATCTAAATTGCACCTATGTCCAAATTCAGGAAAAAACTTCAGAATTATATATACAATTTGTGCAACATCTTTTGAAATTCACCCTACCTAAGAATTTTCTGAATTAACAAATAACATAATGAAATAGTAACAATTGCCTATATTTGTCTAGCAGTTTATGAAGCAGATTCATTTTCTCGTTTATAACATTTCTCTGAAGTGAAGTCAGAGAAGGTAATTGTTATTACCTTCATTTTGCAGATGAAGACACTGAGGCTTACAGGGATGAAGTCAGTTTCCCAAAGCAGTGGGTTTTGGCTGATAGAGATTTACAGAGGCTTTTGAAAACGTGATGGAAATGATAGTGTTTTCTTTAATACAGTGACTGTATACACAGAATTCTGCCCATGGCTTGGTGATGGCCCTGGGACTTGAGCCCTCTTTTCTCCAGAGGACCTTGCTTTGTAACTCCCACCCCCTGTCTCAAGTCCATTAGTAACCAAAGGATTGGAACCCAAGGAAGATTTTCCTCTGTGTACCCCTTGTTTACAGAGAGACACCAGGAAAGGGAAGTAGTGGGTATTGTACCAGGTGACTTCCCATGGGGCCAGTGAGGATAAAAACCAACTAAAAGTTGGGTTCAGATGTTTGTCAGATGGCAGAGGCTCTGGAGTGAAAAGAAGGGGACTAAGAGAGAGAACCAAGGGGACCTGATTCCAGAAAGCACCAGGACTGTGCAATATTGGAAGATGGCAATCCCTCCAGCTCTGTCTCCACTGGCCTCGGAGGTACCCTGCACCCCATCTGGCTCTACTCGGGAAAAGCTCTTGAGAAATGCTTCAGTTAAGTACAGTTGGAATGAATAGTGCATGTCAATGCCAGACAGCGAAGATGGTTTTAAAGTTTTATTTCATAGCACAGTAGGGAGTGCAGGAGAAGTGCAGTTACAAAACATTATAAATATTACATGTACACTTTATAAAAAGAACAAGGATGTTGGCCTTAAGTTGAAATAGATTATTGAAATTTTCATCTGTACTTATAAAAGTGCTAATTTTACTCCAGACATTCAGCAAGCAATGGATATTTACCATGTCGGGCATTCTGCCAGGTGATGGGGTAAGACAGGGGCATGAGAGAGGGTGAGGTAGGGTGACGGTCTAGTTAAGGGAGATAGACAGAAACACCCACTAATGACTCACTGGTTTTGAAAACTATTTCATTCTAAGCACTTCACATACATTAGATCACTAAATCATCACCACAACCATAGAAAGTAGGTCACACTTTTATTTCCATTTTAAGACCAAAAAAAAACCCAAAAAACAAAGAGGATGGGATAACTTGGCCAAGGACATAAAGCTAGCCAGTGACAGCACTGAAATTTGAATTCTGACAATCTGGCTCTGGAACTTATGAATGTAAACAAAATCCACTTTATTACCTAGAACCATGCTCGGCACTGTGGGAGATACCCCTTCTGCAACCTGTTGATAGTTTGGGGAAAAGGGGCCCTGTATCAGTCAACTATTACCATAATACTACTGTATAACAAAACACCCAAAAGACATTGGCTTGAGATAATAGCATTCCTTAGTTCACAAACCTACAGGTCAACTATGTTGTTCTGTTACTCTTGGTAGGCTTGACCTTAACATCCTTCTTGGGGCCAGTTGAAGTTCACCCACCTGTCTGGTGGTCAGCTGGCTGACCTAGGTTGGTTCTAGCTCTGCTCAACACATCTCATCCCCAGCTGGCCAGCAGGGTACATTCTCATGGTGATCAGAGAGGAAACAGAAAACACAAGCAGTTTCTCCAAGCTTGAAATCTCCTAAAATCCTACTGGCCAAAGTCAGTCACATAGCTAAGCCCAAAGTCAGAGTAAAAGGGGGCTTCAGAATTTTAGGACAGAGGACATAAATGTAGGGAGGCCACGAACTGGAGCAATCAACACAATCACTTTAGACAAGAGGCCCCTTTTGCGATGTTCCTATTCCCACTCCATCCCCACCCCCAGTTCACAGTGACAGGGAATGAGTCCCAGGCCCTGGGTCTTATTTATTTATGCCACCCTTGTCAGTTTAGGAAAGCCCCACCCTCCAGTGCCTAAAAACGAGGGAACCCCCAAACTTCTACTGTGAGAAAGGGAAAATTATTTAATTGAGTAAAAATGAAATATTACTATAAGGAATGTAAAAGGACGGACAACAGTTCAGAAACTAGTGTCAAGGAAGTTGCATTGATGGCTATAAGAGGCAGACACTGCATTCAAAGCAGTGTAAGCAAAAGGGAAACTTTTGACTCACGTTGCTCATGATCTGAGGGCATCAGTAATGAGCACTCTTCCTCTTTCCAGCCAAAGTTGAAACCAATCAAGAGGTGGATACACAAGTGGAGGAGGTAGGATAAAAGTATCACTCTTGGTGTGAATAAAGACCACTAGGAGATTTGGCATTAGGTATGATGGCCAAGAGAGCCTCATAATGTTGTACTCCAGAACTGAACTTGCCACCTACTCATGGCTCTCTGACAGGGCCCATCCCTGAAAGGCTTAGAACATGGAACAGAGTGTGCTCTTTTAGCTAGACAGGTCCCAAAAAGAAAGGGAGGAACTAAGCTGTACAGGCCATTTCTGTCCCCCAGCTTAAATGATTAGTTAAGTTCCCTCTCATCTCCTGGAGAGGAGTGAATGAGGTGAAGAATGACATACTAATACCCTTCCATGAAGAAAGCAGTATCCAGAACTGGTAATAAATATTCTCCCTAATCATAACCAGTGAAAGGGCTGGGTTTCCTTCAGGTATGGTGAAATCCAGGAGCTAAATCCAAGTCATTAAAGTACTGACTCTCTCTCAAGAAACCTTGCCATTCTTAGTATTTCATTGGCTTCATTCTTAGACAGTCTTTCTGTACTTGATATAAAGACAGCCCTGAGCAGCTCCAGCTTCGTAAGACTATCTCAGAAGGAGAGACATTCTCTTTCACACAACATACATTTCAGTCTCTGAAGAAACTAATTCTAATTGGTCCTTCCTGGGCCACAGCCATTCTTGAACCAATCACAGCAGTGGGAGTTAGAATTCCCGGACTGGTAAGTTACCATCCATTTTGGTGATTGGGAGATGGAGGGTTATGAGGTTTGATTGACATTATCTACTGAGATTATTGGGAGCACAGGAGGATAGCTTCAAGAAAAAGATGCAGCAAGAGAAAAAAAGTACAGGATGCCCATCACCATGCAAAAATGACCCTTTTATCCCATCTGGATGCACCTTCCCTGGTAGTGCTATGTCCCCTGTCCCCCATGGTCTGTGTTGGTCTTTGCTGTCAGAACTCCAATTGGGGATAGACTTGGCAGGGAGCTCAGACCACAGCCCCTAGATAAGCAATTCAGAGCAGTCTTGACATGTCTCCTTTTTTGTTGCTTTGTGTGTTGGAAGGAGTGTGTTTTTGTGGGATGTAGCATTTGGGAGCCAATTATTGGCTGGAACCCTGGCCTAAATGGAAAAGGAAGATTATCCATTATTGGCCAGCGTTGGAATCTCCATTGGCATTATGATTGGAGGAAGTTGGTTTCTTTTTTTGTTTGTCGTGGTAGGGAAAGGTATGTGTATCATGATCAAGTCCTGCCCCTTATGATAAAAAACTCAAAATAATAGTGTCCTAAACAAAATAGACATTTGTCTCTCTCATACATTTTAAAAAATGCTCAAAGTAGGTCATCTACAGCTTTTATGGTTCTTCGTGGTATCAGAGACCTGGCTCTATTCGTCTTTGACTGCCATCCTCAGAAGGTCATTTCACTGCCCAAAGCAGCTGCCGTTGTGACTGCATTCCAGCCAGAAGGAGGCGGGTGAGAGAAAGGAATTGTCTTCCCCTTCTACTCTAAGAATTCTCTTGGAAGGTTCACACACTTTTGATCCTGTCTGCTTCATCAGAAGGGAATCCCATAGACTCTCCTGACTGCCAAGAGACTGGGAAATGTAGTTCTTCAGTGCGCCATTGCGACAAGAGTC